AAGGCTATGCAGCCAGTCGACTCGTTTCAGCAGAGCAGTCTCACATGTGGAAAAAAGAGACTTTATCTGTGCTGATAATTTACAGAAGTTACAACTTTTTTGTTTCTGAACAGTTTTTGCTGTCAGCTTTCTGTCACAGTGACAAGACATAAAAGTCGAGAGAGATGATGAGCTTGAAATTGTGAGCTTTAATCTGACTTTTTAAAATCAAAATGAAAGGGACAGTTCACCCAAAAAGTACATATTTTTCCTCTTACCTGTGGTGCTATTTATCAGTCTAGATTGTTCTGGGGTGAGTTGCCAAGTGTGGGAAATATCAGCCATAGAGATGTCTGCCTTCTCTGGAATATAATGGGACAAGATGGCACTCAGCTTGTGGTGCTCAAAGCATCAAAAATATACTTCAGTCAGGACCACTTTAGTTAAAGAAAACTAGAATTCCATTTGCAGAATTATAGTTGGTGGTAGGACTCTGTTTCGGGGTCTCTGCCTTTCCTAGGCCAACACAGAAATTCTAAGGCAAAGACAGCACACCTCTCTGCCCTTCCACGTGCCTACATGGAAACCTAAGGCCAAGAGAGCACATCCCTCTGCCCTTCCATGCGCCTACATGGAAAACCTAAGGCCGAGAGAGCACACCGCTCTGCCCTTCCACACACCTACATGGAAAACCTAAGGCTGAGAGAGCACACCTCTCTGCCCTTCCATGCGCCTACATGGACAGCATAAGACAGGGAGAGCAGCAGCAAACCAGCTGTAGCTGGGATGTGAGCTGAGCTTGACATCGTGTCCTGCCTGAACTAACGCTATGCTCGATATTTGAAAAACCTACAGCAATGTCTCTTTCCAAAAATCATGACCTGGTTAGTCAAGATAATCCACAGACCTTGTTGTGAGCAGTTTCATGAAGGAACTATTTTTTTCTACCAAACTACATCCTCCAACAGTATCACCACTCAGAAATGAGATTGAATCTACTCGTGCTTGTGACAGTACGATAAGTCATCTGACTTTTTTTGCATCCGACTTTCCTATCTTTGTTTGTTGCACCTAGCATGTTTGCTAGCTAGTACTTTCAAAGAAATAGCTCAACATTTTGGGATGTACAACTTTTAACTTTCTTGTTGAGAGTTAGATGAGATGATTTATACCACTCTTGTATCTGTCTGTTTGAGTTTAGGTTACAGCCAGCAGTCAGTTAGCTTAGCTTTGCATAAAGAAAGTGGGAAGAAACAGCTAGCCTGGCCCAGTCCAAAGGTAACAAAATCCACCTACAAGCATCTCTAAGACGAAACACATCCAGGCTATAGCCTTATATTGAACAGAGAGATAAAATGGTCTTTTTTCTCATCTAACTCTCCACAAGAAAGCGAAAAAATGTATTTCCCAAAACGATGATCTATTGCTTTAAAGCTCCACTTTCTCAAGCCGTTAAGGTTTGCTCCACACACAGCACATCTTCAACAGTCACACTTGCTCATATAATTTGCCCATACAGACTTCAGTCTAGAGAGTTGAACTTTTACGACCTGGTCACAAGCCTGCTGCAACTTTTATGAGATGACCTGCGAGCTGAGACTTGACCTACATTTTGAACCGCTATTTGCAGCAGCTGCTGGTTCTTCAGGAAAGAAGATATGAGGGCAGGAGAGGAGAAAGGAGGAGGAAAGTAGGAAGGGGAGACAAAGAGAAACAAGAGGGAAGATATGGTGATATGGAGAGGAGACCGTAAACAAGAGACCTGAGAGAGGAAGACGAGACAGAAACGTTTACTCCTCCATTTGAGGCATTGTTAGCTACATGAGCCTGACCTTGGCTACAAGACATTTAAACTGCTGAGCACACACATGTATACACACATTTCACACATACAAATACACAGCAGCACAGAGGCATCTCATAGTGATTGCATTCTGGCATCTGTCTGTTCAACCTCCACGGGAATTAGCAGCCACAGATTATATATGAAACCATATGTGTGTGTGTGTGTGTGTGTATGTGTGTCTCTCTCACAGGTGTAATTACAAGCAGATGTGCTCCTAGACTTCACCATTAAAACAAAAAAGATTCAGGATTGCTTGACTGCTGCCAACCTCTTTCTCCGCCATTCCCTCTGCCCTTCACTTCCTCCTTCAATCTTTCTACCCATTTTTTTAATCCCACTCTCCTGGCCCATCCACCTTCTTTTATCTCCATCCGCCCCCCACACTGTGTGCCCTAAAGAAAGACGTGAAATAATCCCCTCTTTCTCTTCCTACTTTTTTTCCTACTTTTTCTCCTCCCTGATGTCCGTGAAGGGCAAAGAGAACCTGAACAGTATAAAAATCTTTCAGAAGCACTAAATAATCTGTGCTCTGTGCCGTTAACATTTTGTGTCGGCAAGCAAAGATTTTCAGCCCAGGATCGCACAGTGTATAGAGGCTGTATGGGCCATTAATTAATCATTCTCAATCATCTCAGTGCCATGCAGCTCCTTTCTGTCTTTACTTTACTGAAGGGGAAGAAAAGAAGAAGTGCAGCGCTTCAACGTGGAGAAATCCAAAGCTTAAAAGAATATTTCACACACAAAATGACCATTTGTATATTAATTACTTACCCTGTGTGAAGAAAACTTTTTCTTGCATGCCTCCATAGTGTACAGAGAATCCAAAAAAGGTGACCATTCCTAATGATTTAAAGTAATCAGAGTCTGCATTTAACAACAAGAAACTATATCAAAACATCTGTTAACAAACTGTAAAAACTTGCCCAGTATAATCCAAATGTCATTCATCCAGTGAAATACTCATCTATCCATCTATCCATTAAATCCCTTATCCGGGGGGTGGGTCACTGGGGCAGCAGGCCAAGCAAAGCACCCCAGACATCCCTCTCCCAGCAGCGCTTTCCAGCTCCTCCTGGGGGACCCCAAGGCGTTCCCAGGCCAGATGAGAGACGTAATCCCTCCAGCATGTCCTGGGTCTACCCTGGGGCCACCTGCCATTGGGTTGGCCCAGAACACCTCTAACAGGAGGCATCCTGATCAGATGCCCGAACCACCTCAACTGAGCCCTTTCGATGCCAAGGAGAAGCAGCTCTACTCCGAGCTCCCTCCAAATGCCAAGCTCCTTACCCTATCTCTAAGACTGAGCCCAGCCAGCCCACGGAGGAAACTCATTTCGGCCGTATCCACGATCTCATTCTTTCGGCCATTACCCAGAGCTCATGACCATAGGTGAGGGTTGGGACGTAGATGGACCAGTAACTCAAAAGCTTCGGCTTCTGGCTTAGCTCTCTCTTCACCATAACAGCGGCGCAGTGCCCCATCACTGCAGACGCCGCACCAAATCACTGATCCTTCTCATGCTCCATTCTCCCCTCACTCGTGTACAAGATGTATGCTCAGTACTTCCCGAACAACATCGTGCTTTTTTGCTAAAACTTTGCAATATGAAACACATCCGCCTCTGCTTGAGCAGGGTTTAAAAGCATGTGCTTGCTCAGGCATGCTATTTTGCTGTGCGTGAGACTGACATGTTTTAAATCGTTATGATTTAGTGATTTAGTACTCTCATACCACTGGATGAATTAGACTTGGACTATGCTGCACTAGTTGTGTGAGATAGACAGATGATTTCACATAGTTTTTTGTTGTTTAATGCCAACCCTGAATACTGAAGTTCATAAATAATGTTCGGTTTTCTTGGACTCTCAGTTCACGGTGGAGACATGCGAGAAAAACAAAGCTTTCTTCGTGAATTCAAGGTTACACCCAACAAGTAACTGGTACACAAATGGTCATTTTGCAGTTGAACAACAAAGGAACCACTCTGAATGAGCATGAAATGACACAACACTATGAACTCTAGTTTTGTAAAGTTAAAAAAAACAAAACACTCAAAAAGCAGTGACGCACAAAGGGATGATGCATCTTAGTGCTACGATTCACCGGTCATTTATCTCACCATTTGACATGCCTTTAAAGTGATACCATGCAGTCTGACACAAAGATTTTTTTGTAAATATATTTTATTGATTTTCAAACTTTTCAGCCCACAAAAGTGAAAGATATAAAACATGTACATTTGACTTTAATTCCCCAACTCATCCCTCAACTAGAAAAAAGAACTATTCATCAAATATGCTGACAGATTTAAATCCCCATTCCCATCCCTACCACCCCACCTACCCATAGGATTACATGTTGCAGAATGCAGGTGAAGGAGGGGAGAACATGATAAAATAATCAAATAAATGCATTAATTATTTAAAGTCAAAGAAGAAGGAGAGGGGAAAATGGAAGCTGCAGCTGTAATGGGACATTTATGGGTTCCACCCCTACTCTTGATGAAGAGGCGCCTGTAGGGAGTCGTAAAAATCCAAAAAGGGACTCCGTATCTTAACAAAGAGATGACCTTTTAAGTGTGTATGTTTTTTTTACCATTAACAAATGGATAGAGGAGCATGATGCTTCCATGTTAACATCTTAAAGGGTGTGGTGAAAGCTGTGACCACAAAGGCTTCATTTGGGACAAGAGCATAGGATTCCTTTGCTGCTAAACTGCCTAAGGTTGTTACACAGAGTGACATGCAATCACACTATAAGAGCATTTTATCCCCTCCTTTCCCTCTGTCCTTCCTTTTCTCTTTCCATTTCCCCTCTCCCCAGATGACATCTTGAAATATGATGAATCAGTTTTCTCTCCCCTTCCCTCCTGTCCTTTCTCGTTTTATTTCTGCCTTGACTGTCTAACCCAAAACAGCTTTCCTTTATCACTCCACTCCTTCATCCCTGCCCTTTACAGTACATCCTCTTCCCTTTCCCCTTTCCCTGACTCCCACATCTCTCTGCCTCCCTCCCTTCTTTGCCCTTTTTTCTTCCCCGCACCCCTCTTTCTTCCAAGGTGATGTTACAATAAAGGCGTGACAGGAGCTGTGCGCCATAAAGATTTTGAATATTGATGAATTCATTCTTCCTTGTATTTTCCCTCTCTGTCTTCTCCCCTCTCCTCTCTCTCTAGGTGATGCTGGCAGAGCGTAAAACGACAGAGGAGCTGTACGCCATAAAGATCCTGAAGAAGGACGTTGTGATCCAGGACGATGACGTGGAGTGCACCATGGTGGAGAAGAGGGTGCTAGCGTTGCCTGGGAAGCCTCCGTTCTTAACACAACTGCACTCCACTTTCCAGAGCATGGTGAGTGGATCGACATGTTTTCACAAAAGTGGTATAAAATGTTTTTATGTCTCATTAGAAACACCAACCCAGATTTTTATAACAGTACTTTTACTAATTGTCATTTGCTGCTGGTTCAAGGCTCTATGGACTCAATGAAATGTTTGGTCTTACAAACAGAGAGTGACTAGAAACCAAAACAGCTCTCCATCTGAGATTCTTTGCCAGCTGTAGTGACACCCCTCATAGGCCCCTACACATCCACATTATATTTGATCTGAAGGGAGCCACAGCGCGGTGCCCTGCTGAAGGGCACAGGCGCACTGCTGGTGAGCACTGTGGTCTTAACAGCAGTCACCCTGCCTGCTGTCACCAGCTCACAGCTGGAATACACAGGCTGGATTCATATTTGATTCATGCTCATCTTCTGACGTATAATCCATATTACACTGAAGATGAGTCAACAGAGGAGTAAATATAGCTCTCATACTTAACACAGAGTACAAGTCATTTACATTCACATGCCACATAAACACACTCATGTTGCCCTCGATCAATGAACGTAGCATGTTGGGGATCCCTTTGAGGTTGTGGTTAAAGACAAGAGTTGACTGGGGCTACATACACACACACACACACACACACACACACACACACACACACACACACACACACACACATACCAAAAATGAGTGTGGAGTGTGTTAATCCTCCTCAGCAGTAATTATTTGACCAGTGGAGGGCTTTTGTACATATGAGACTTAGCAGGCAGTTATAACACACACACACACACACACACACACACACACACACACACACAAACACACACATTGAGGCAATTATAACATACATGCATACACACATACATTTTAATCACACACACTGTAGACATACACTTAAAGACTTATCAGGCAATACAAGTATACTCTGAAACACACACATACACACATACACACACACACACACACACACACACACACACACACACAGAAACACCTTAAAGGAGCAGTGTGTAGGATTTAGTGACATATAGCGGAAAGGATTGCAGTTTGGAGGCAGCTAAAAACACTTCCCCCGTGTGAGAAGTGTGAACTCCCGGTTAGGTTTCCTTCAGTATTTATTGTTCAGAAGGTTTTCACAGGGAGCCGAATTATCCGCAGAGGTCTCTTCCTCTTCAAAACAAAAGGACCAGGTGATTAAAACCGGTAAAAACCTGAATAAAGAAGTTTCAGTTTACAAATCAGTGTTTCTCCAATGCTATTCGGCCTGGCGACGACAGGCAGCTAGCCCAGCACCTGCTAATGTGTGCTCAGCTTTTTCCACTGATAACTTAAGATGCAGATATTCAGGAGGTTTTTACCAGGAGCCGAATTATCCACAGAAGTCTCTTCCTCGCCAAAACAAACAGACCAGGTGATTTAACTCGTAAAAAACAGTGAATAAAGCAATTTCATGTTAAAAATGTGTGTTTTTCTGACGCTGTTTGGCTCTTTCTCCATATGGCAGACTCTGTGGATGAGGACACACTCCCTATGTAGATATTAGCGTCTCATTCCAAGGGTGAGCTTAGGGAATACTCACTTTGAGTGCCAGGGCACTCTGTGGCACAAACTACACCGGACTCCACACCGAAGTCTCGGAGTGGCAGAGCACAATCTGAGCACTCTGTCTGGGGAGACGGAGCAGCAGAGTGACGAGTGGAGTGAATGTGTGATTAACTTAATCATTCGTTAATTCATGTAGAAATCCATGCCTTCAAACAGCAGCTTTCTCATCTTAAGGCTCATTTATGCTCCCTTTACGTACGAAAATGTATACGTCCGTTTCAAATGATGTTACCGTCACTGCCTACATACTTCCATGCGCCCTTTACATTGGCATGGATGTTATACATATATCCACCAGGAGGCAGCCCAGCGTCAAAAGTTTATGACAACAACAAACTCAAAAACAAACATGGCGACTGTGGAGGAGATATTGATAATGTACCTCTTGCATAAAAGACAAAAACAGAGGCAGCGTTGTAGGAGGCGGTGGTCGGTGAGGCCGTTAAATACATTGCGACTGGAGGATGGAGAATTCTTTTCTCTAGTACTGCTGATGAGAGAAATTGAATTGTTATTTCTTCTTCGTGTCTCGCTAGAGCTACGTATCAGGTAGTGACAACAACACTGCCCCCATGGTTCCCGGTGGTACTGCTCCGTTTGGCCCGTATCCGTAAGCTTTATGGAAACGTGCAGAAATACGGACGAAATGAACGCAGAGCACGGACAGAAGACTCCGTCCGTATCTGGATCAGTATTTAACGTTGAGCATAAATGAGCCCTTAGTGTGGAGCGTCAGATAAGATTTTACGAATGCACCCTAAGGTACCGAAAACACGACAATTCTTATTTTCAGGTGATTATACACTAAAGAAAACATACTTATTATTGTATTCCATATCTGCCGATATATCCCCCTAAATCCTACACACTGGACAAAATCACAATGTTTTCTCCAGACACACACATGGCCACACACCAAATCCCTCCACTCTCCCTCACATACTGTACCTTATTGGCAATTTCTGCAGATAATGGAGGAGAATAAGCTTTTAAATTGATGTTGCTGTGTTCCCTCAGTTGCAGACTGACAGGACGACAACCCGATCACCTCTTTCTCACTGTCTCCTTCCTCTTTTTCCATCTTTTGTCTCTCTGTCTCATTGCCTATGTCATTTTCTTCTCTATCTCTCCTTTAATCTTCTGTTATTTGACCCATCAGTCTCCATCTACCTCTGAGCAATCCCTTTCTCTTTACAGTATCTTGCTTTTTCTTCTGCGCTATCATACCATTTCTCTGTGACCTCTCACCTGCTTTTATGAACATGAACTTTTTAACGTCTCCCTCTCTCTGTCTGCTCCTTTATCTCTTGTAGGACCGTTTGTATTTTGTCATGGAGTACATAAATGGAGGAGATCTCATGTATCAGATTCAGCAGGTCGGCAAGTTCAAAGAGCCCCATGCTGTGTGAGTATACACACCCGCGCACACCCGCACACACACACGCACACAAAGCAGACTAAAAGCAAAGATACATTCTTACGCCATCATAACACAAGATCTTAATCCCGTGCTTGTAGGTGTTTCACAGTTTGGTAATGCTTTTTTTAAAAATCATGTTGAATAAGCCATCAGCAGTTTGACGGGGCTCAGGTGATGGATGAGCAATCCTAGCAGAGCCTCGGGGTGAAATATGTTGTTCGCCCCGATGCACGTTGCTGCTCTAAAGAACTTCAAAGAAATGAAAGTAATCCAGCGGCTCCTGTGAGTTTTCAGTGTGTGGTAGAATACCTCCAAAACTGCAGAATATAATTAAGGTGGCTGGCGAGATCACTGGTGTCAAGTCAAACCAGCAGGCTGACATATTTGACAAGCGGGCTGTCGGGAAAGCGAGAGCCGTGGAGGAGTTTGCCCTTCATCTGCTTTATAGGGAATTAGAGTTTCTTCCCTCTGGCAGAAGGTTTAGACTGCTGAAGGGCAAGTCGAACGGGGGTGAGGAACTCTTTTATCTAAGGCCATCGACTTGTTCTGCTCTGTTTAATTTATTTATTAGACAATAGTCAGGATATTCTGCTCCGTGGATGATGACGATGCATTGGACTCTCATTTTATCTTATGGGTTTGTGCTTCTGTGTGTGTGTTTGTTTATCATCTAAAGCCGTGTTTGCATCCTGCATCGGCGACACCTATGTGGTCATCATGCTGATCACTGATTAAACACTACAGCAAGCTATGACATATTTTCCTATGCTCAGTAAAAGGCAGATAATTTAGGTCGTTTTCTCGTCTCTCTTAGAGTATGGTGATGTTATTTATAGACACACCTCTGCCTCCACTTTGGCCCTGTTTACACCTGGTATTAACATGTGTCCTAGGTGATCAAATGACAAGTAAACAGCTCACAGTGTGCCCTCAATGCATCTACTCGCTCAGATCACATTCGGCTATGGTCTGAGCTGCATATGGCCACATTCTTTCAGCAGTGTGTACCATAATGTGTCCAGGGCCACATTGAAGGACCACCTACACAGCTGATGTCTTGGCTTATCCAGCTTAAAACTTTCTGTTGCTGCTGTTTCGCAGTGCTGAAGGACCGTCCCCAAAGTCACTCTCCTCTCACACTGTCAAGCGGTCAGTTCAATGTCTGCCCGGTTAGCACAAGCTTACACAGCTCACACTCCTTCAGCAGTAGTGGCGGGAGGCCCAGGGACCACAGCATGCACTTGCCTCATGATAAACGAATAAAAAAAGAAATTATTCATGTGTTAATTTGTACAGCTGGGAAGTGATCAGATCACAAGTGTTAACACGGGATGCCTGTGAAGACTCATTCTAATGCCAGGTGTTAACAGGCAGACTTCCAAATGTCCACTTGTGATCCAATCAACCAAGAGGCATGTTAATACCAGGTCTAAACAGAATCTTTTAAACCCCTAGATTCAGTTTATCACTCTGCCCTAAGATTCATTACTAGTGCCTGTTACTCTACTTGGTTGGGTGGCCATCTTTAACTGTAAGATGTGACAGGCGTTGGTTTCTATGTCTTTATAAAGCCCTAAATGGCAACATGCCTTCATTTATCACTTCTGTATGAAACTGGTCCCATAGTCATTACTCAACCTCATCAAATGAATGGCTAATGCATGCTAAGTGCTAAGTCCAACATGCAAGCACTGAATTTGGGAGAACTGCTTCAGTCTTTGTGCTGCACAAACTTAAAAGTTTCTGTATCTCTCTTTCGTTAGAAATTAGGTCATGCCCTAAATGATTCCACGAGATTTAAATAAAGCTGAATGAATAATACACGGCTCTCCACCCTGTCAAAATGACAGCTTTTAGCTGCTCTTTACAAACTGACACCGAGTGTGCATGCCCACGCAATCACATGCGTAAACATAGCTGACTGCGTGGTCAGTGTGTCCAGACTCTTCCTGTTGATCTTATCAGCTGCTCTCTGGCCTTGAAGAGACAGCACTGACCTTTATGCAGACACACACACACACACACACACACACACACAAATTATCCATCTGTTTTCCTCCTGTCCTTTCTCTCAGAGTCTTTCTAATTACTGTTTTTGTTTCTCTCTGTGTCTGTGTATGTCTGTGTGTAGATTCTATGCTGCGGAGATAGCCATCGGTCTGTTCTTCCTACATCTAAAGGGCATCATCTACAGGTAACCTCATCCCACAACATGCTAAATGAATAACATTTACAAAATACCACATTCATTATGGAGGATTCTCAGTTTAGTTTCAGACTTTACAAGGTTTATTTCAGCACAGTCTGAATAAAGAGATTTAAAATAATACTGAATCATATTTGTAAGTATTGTGCAAGTGTAAGTATTTGCTTTAAAGGGACAGTTCACCCCAAATCAAGTTGCATATTCTGTACTTCCTTCTGTGGTAGGGTTGGTGGGTATAGTTCCATAGAAAGAAAATAGTTCCTACATAAAACTGCTCACAGCAAGGTCTTTGAATTGTCTTGAGAAACCAAGTCATGATTTCTGGAAAGAGACATTGCTGTTGAGTTTTTTAAATGTATTTCTTTGACACTTTCAGCACCACAAGCTGAGTTTCATCTAGTTCCATTATACTGGAGAGAAGACAGACATCTCTATGGCTGATATCTCCAACACTGGCGTGAACTGTCCCTTTAAGATGTGCACTGCAGAACCATAGGGAAGGAGTTAAAAATAATGCGTATTAATCTGTAATATTTTTCTGACTACGTCACCCATCCCCAGTAACCACCGAAGAAAAGTAGGATTTTGACCTTTAGACTTCAGCTGCAATTAACAGATTTCTGCTGTTTATAGTATTATGCCGAGAATCCGCCCCCACAAACGCTGCCGTGCTCCCAACTGCAAATCAGAATCTGTCATCTGGTGTAGTGTAACTGCAGCTCGACCTCTTGGATTAAGCAGAGCATCGTTCCCTATCAAACTCACACTAAATTGCACAGGATAGACTGTAGAGGAGAAGAAAACTTAGGAGTAAAAAAAAGCAAATGAGATGATGAGCCTACGTGGTCCATGTTGGATAGTGAATTGAGCGTTGTTTCCCACTGACATTGTGTTTATAACAAAAGATGGTGTATTACAAGCTGTGTCAATGGTATGACATGGTCTATACTCCTGAGTGGGCACAACTGTCTCTCAATACAACACTGTATGTGATACAAATTAAATTTTTGCTCCTTATTTTGCAGATCATTTTTGTCTGCTAGCTTGATATCTAATATTAACTGAGTACAAGAACATGTCAGATGTTGCCAGATCCTGTAAGAGTGTGTTGCTGAAGGCCAAGACACAGCAAACTGACATCAAAGAACTAGTGGCGACAAAAAACGACTGTTCCATCACTTCACATTGCCTGTGTCTTGGCTAAAAAGACTATAGCTGGCAGCCAACCAGGACGTACGTTCTGCACCTGTGTAAGAGGAAATAATTGTCCACAGCAGCAGACAGTGGAAGTCATCATTCACAGAGGGGAACTGGAGGACCGTCATGACTTAGTTGGCCAGTTAGCACACCAACAACACAATCCAATGTTGAAAGAACAAAGCCAAAGATAGTCTGTAACAGATAACGCAATACAAGCTGCGCCAGTGGAATTAAATGGTATACGTTGGTCTCCTCAGTGGGTGTGGGCATCTCTTCCGTGCATACCCCCACCTTGTTTGGAAGTGTAGTTAATGACATGTGGATGGATGAAATCAGATTCAAAACAATACAACACTATATACAGTAATAATTTAATGTTTCGTTTGTCTGTCTGAAAAAATGCCATTGTAGTGTGAGAATGTTCAGAAGGATTGGGGCTTGTGAAAACTGGGTCACACTGGGTGACTATCGGGCAAAGGACACGGTCATAATCTGTACTCATCTTAACTTTTCCCATTGGAATAAATAGACTCAGGGCCACTGTTAGTCTCCTAAAGGGGTGGCTCAATGGCGAAACCCATGTGACACAGATACAGGAAGTGAATCTAAAGTGGACCGTCTCGGTTTATCAGACAAAGCATATGTATTTTTATTTATCAGTGAGCAATGACACAAACCACCACGAAACATTTCTGCTAAAGAGCTCAATGGCTAAAGAAAAATAATCTTACTTTATGTAACAAGCTTGTTTTGATCTCACTCCCTTTTGACTTTAGCTGTTTGTTTACTTTCCTCACTTCAGTCTCTTCTCATTCACCATACCAACACCGATTCAACATGCTTAATCGGCTGAAAAAAAGCCAACAAGGGCCAACAAGGGCTGAGAAGGGCTGGTCACACCACAAAGACTAGGGCACTCATTGACGGCCAGACATCGGCTTGGTGCATCACAGCCTTTAGACATACATGTGTCTCAAACAAAGTTCAATTTGCTCCTGATTTGTTTCTCTGAAAAATGCCATTTTAGTGTCAGAATGTTTAGAGGATATGTGTCGCACTTCGGTGGCGCAGATGCAGGAAATAATTCTGAAGTGCATTATCTCGTATCTAATCCATCTCTGTTTTCCTTCCTGCAGAGACCTGAAACTGGACAACGTGATGCTGGACTGTGAGGGTCACATTAAGATAGCAGATTTTGGCATGTGTAAAGAAAATATGAATGATGGAGTCACGACCAAGACCTTCTGTGGAACACCAGACTACATAGCCCCTGAGGTAGAGTGTGTGTGAGGTGTGAGTGATGGTGGGCGGGCTGGCAGTGCATGTGTTCCTGTCATTGTTTCTGGCCTATAGCTGGTCGTTCTGAATGTTTTTTAGACTACTTTTAAATCATATTTTGAGGTATTTTAGCTTGTATTTAATTAGTATTCTTCCCATGCACTGCCCTCCCTCGCTTCAGTGATTTAAGTGATTATATCAAGTTTCCTGAACATGGTCTCTTATATTTCAGATCATAGCCTACCAACCTTATGGAAAGTCTGTGGACTGGTGGGCCTTCGGAGTATTGCTCTATGAGATGCTGGCTGGACAGGTCAGTCTGTGTTTGTGTGTCTGTCACTATTATATTTAAATGCACACTAATATCTACTATTATTCAGATTATGACAAACTTCGGAATTTGATACCAGTCATGTAAACAGTATATCCTGTTTGGATTTCCTGAATTAGGTTTCCCGACTGAAGCATTTTCTGATTAAGACATGTGGGATATGCCGATATTATTCAGGTTGAAGAGCATTTTTTGGTGAAGAGAGAGGAGGAGCGCACACCAGGGTTGGAGAGGTGCTGACCGTTGACGAAAAAATACAAATTTGAAAAAAGATGTCAGGCACGCACTCTTGATGCAAGATATTGATGCAAAGATATTTTCTTTTATTCAAGTACCAACGTTTCGACTAGACCGTCTTCATCAGGGTTTTACAAGACACTGAGCTACCAGACATTTTATAGGACACACAGGTGAGCTCTATGATGAGAGGGAGTGTCTTCAATTACAGGCACATGCCATGGGAGGTGTTGTCAATCAACACAAATTGCCACACAGTTGAGACAGGAAAAAAGCACAATAAGATCAAGGCTCAATTTCCATTCAAGTATAATCTTAAAGACTAAAAAAGACAGAATATAGACAATTCAAAAGTACAGTTCAAAAACACTTACATTCTTTTCAGTTATCAAAAAGTAGTAGACAATAAAAAGTATCATTATTTTAAATACAGTCAAATCAGGAAGAGAAAAATGCATTTAGACACCACTTAAAGTGGAAAAGGACAGAATACCCCTGTTTTTTTGAAAAAATAATTCTTATAGGAGGGGGAGACTGCAAAACAATTGTTAGGACTTTGAAAAAAGACATCTAGATATAAGAAACGTAATTGTTAATGATTTAGTAGAAAAGTGTTAAATTTTGAATACAATTTTAGAAAAAGAATTTTAGGAAAAAAATTGAATTTAGAGAAAATCTACTTACAATAGTAATGGTAAATAACTGAAATAGAAAAAAGTTAAATTCTAGGAATTTTGGAAAAATATTAATGGATTTAGAACAATCTACATATAAAGAAGTTAAGGATAAAGGATTAGAAAATGCATCACAATGCCTATAAGACAGGACAATCTAGAGTCAAAGAAAAAGTTTAAGGTCAAACTCAACATTAAGGCCACTGGGAGCAAGAGTATTTAAAGTATAGATCCAGAAAGCTTCTCTTTTCAACAAAAGAAGATTGAAATCACCCAATCTGAAGAGCATTTTTTGACATATATACAGTACATTCAGAAAATGTGTCTCAACTGGGGTTTTTACTGCAGTTCGCAACACACAAACTCTTGCCTATTTATGGCCGGCTTTGTGCATTGTCATGGATGTGTTGCACACAAACCAACTCACCAACAGTCAACAAGGCTGGATAGAAACACATGCCCAAAAGAAAAGCCCACATTCCTGGTCAGAGGGAGAAACATACCTACTTTAAACATTACCAAAGACTTTGATATCAACAGGTTTTCAAAGATGAACAAGTGTCATTATACCTTTTCAAGGAAGTGGTTGAAGGACTGGGGTTGGGAGAGAGTTACTGCCTCAAGCGAGGGAGTTCAATTACCTCGGGGTCTTGTTCTCGTGTGAGGGTAGAATGGAGCATGAGATGGATGGGTGCTGTGCCAGACCATCGTGGAGCTGAGCCAGAAGGCAGAGCTTTCGACTTACTGGTCCATCTACGTCTCAACCCTCACCTATGGTCATGAGCTCTGGGTAGTGACCGAAAGAATAAGATCATGGATACAAGTGGCCGAAATGAGTTTCCTCCGTGGGGTGGCTGGGCTCAGCCTTAGAGATAGGGTAAGGAGCTCGAACAT